AATAATGGGAACCAAAGTCAACAGAACCATATGACCAAGTTCTCTAAATACAGAGCTGGTAAGGTCTGCCCAGCACCTAGAAATGAGGTGAATGGGCTGGTGGGCTTTTCAATAGGACAGGCTATGCATAGCCTTCCCTCTCAAAAACTCATCTCTGTATAACCAAGTGAGAGAGTGCTCAACAATTTCTTAAGAAACATCAGTGGCTTCAAAATGATTACAGAGTGTAAGGAATGCCCCTTAAGTCAGACAAATGATTCACATTACCTAGAACTTTCTCCTTTTGTTCTTTTCATCCCCTCCTGCTAAAGCTCCAGCCTCAGGATCAAGCCTAGAGCCTTGCCCATGAGATTAGGAAAGGAAAACTCTGAAGTCATGTATTCCAGGATATCTGCAAACATCTCAGCTTTTGCAGTAGTGAAATTGGTGGGATCTGCTCTCCTGCTCTGCCTTCTGCGAGTCAATAGAAGGCTCTTGCTTGGATTTCTCTCTCTCTCTCTCTCTCTCTCCCTGTCTCTCTCATTAATAAAAACAACTTGTGATATAGCTCACAGGTAAGGTGCTTGCTGACAAGCCTGATGACCTGGTTCAATCCCTGAGACCTACTTGGTGAAAGTAGAGTGAGAACTCACTCCTAAAAGTTGTCCCATGATCTGCACCTATGTGCCTTGGTACCTACAACCTTTCATCATAAAAGAAACACATTTTTTTTTTCTCAAAAGCATTTTAACATGCTTTCTTGCCTTGGATTTACCTGTCAACATATTTTCTTTGAGGTCAAGTTTATAGTGCTTGTGGTCTTGAATATGAGTTCTACTCTTCTTCACGTGGTGATACAGAAGGGGAGTCTGGGGAGGCCAGCTTAACCCCCGCCCATGCCTCTGTTTCCCTACACAGTCATATCCATGTAGTGAGAACTTTCTTTTTCAGTTGGATGACATAAAGTCAGTTGCCTCCCTGATGTTTGCTCAGTCACTCTGAATCTTCACTTATCTAAGGAAGAGAGAGGTAAGGGGTATAAACCAGTGGTATAACTGAAAAGATTTTTGTAATCATGGTCAGAAGACAACGGTACTGTTATCAGGACTGGGCATATCAGGCCAGTGGTTATTATACAAGCTGAGCCACAAATTATTGAGCGTGTGACCATGATAATATTTATAGCACTTTTTGTTCTTTTCACAGGACTCAAAGTTTTACTGTGTTTGTAACAGTGATGAACAAATAGACAACATGGGTAATGACTTTCATTTTTTTGAATGGAGAAGAAAAGCAAACAACAACAAACATTATCATACTTTGCAGCCCTGACTGGCCTGGAATTTACCAGGCTGGCTTCTGACTTGTAATTATCTTCCTGCCTCTGTCTCCCAAATGCTGGAGTGACAGGTACCTCTTGTCATTCCAAGGTGTGCTAATGCCTGCTTATAACAGACAAAAAACATTTAAAAAAAGAAAAGACAGACTTGGGATTTTAAAGATTTTTTAATATCTATGTATGTCAGTGTGTCTGAGTGTGGTACCTTCAGTGGCCAGAAGGTATCAGATCATGTGGAGCCAGAGCCACACCACAGATGGTTCTACATAGCTTAATGTGGGTGTTGGGAAGCAAACTCCAGCCCTGTGCAAAGGCAGTGTAAGCTTTTAATTGCCCTACTGTCTCTCCAGCCCTAGTTTAGGGTTTTAATGAAGTGATTCAATCCCATCTGTAGCCTGGGACTATCAAGGGCACTGGAAGTTTGCAGAGCAGAAAATCTTAGCTTGTAAATATAGATCAAAACACCAAACAAGCTTTGCTACAATGTTGCAGATGTTGGTTGCAGTGATTCTTGATCACAAAGAAATATCTAGACTACATTAACAAAATAAACACATAGTGTGCATTAAGTAAAGAGACACCTAGAATACACCAAGTAAAGTTCCAACACACATAGCACATCCTCAGTTTTATAGATGGAGAGGAATGGACTGGGAACCCTCCATTACGTTCAGGGATGCAATCACTAGCCAATCCTGGGCTTTGTTTTCATTTTCTCTGACAGTTTTGTGTCCTCTGGTAACCTCTCTGCCATTCTCTTCTCCAGCGTTTCCATCTGCATGGGGGCTTTTGGAAGTAAATTAAAGGTGTATGCTGTGCCTGATCACTCAAAACAAGTACATACAAAATATGTGTAACGAATAAGTTCTTAGTTAATCCTTGTGAATGATGACTTTTATATTTTTATGCTTTACAACTTTCAAGCTATTAGCATTAAAAAATACTGTTTTTGTAAAATTAGTCTGTCTAAAGGGTAATGTAATGAAGTGATGGTAGAATAATTACTACCAGTAAAAAGCTTGTCTGTTGGGGAGGGATTTCAAGGATGTCATGCTTTAACTTGGTTAGAGATGAGACTACCAAGCCCCCAGATGTTCTGCTTCACTGAAAACTGGGTCTGGAATCCAGGTCTCCAGACTACTATGTAAGGATAGATGCAGGAGTCAGAAGCGTGGAGCCTCGCATTTGTGACTGTACATAGAGCTCATGTGTACTGAGGGGGCGAAGAAGAAACGGGCTATGAAAACTGGAATCAATTTAAGTATCTCCAAGGATTCAGTTTGGGTCTTGTAAGGCAGAGACTGAAATGCAGAAGCTGGTGAAAGAAGTACTTGTTGATTGTGTGTTTTCCCTTCCTTTGTTTGTTTAGAGGCAGGCTCTCACCGCCTCCCATAGGTGGAGGAGTGTCTCTAACTCACTGTCCTTATACCTTTGCCATTAAAATTCTGAGATTACAGCCATGCAGCACTCTGTCTGGCTGAGAATAGGTCTGATGAAATGAAGAACACAAATTTGGTTGTGACTCTTCTCAGGTTTGCAAAAGACTCAAGTGAGTTTGGGCTATGGGGATTTTATAATCTATACCTAGGGCAGGGGCAGGAAAAGGAAACGACTTTGTGGGTTTCATGGAATCAAAATATGTAGTCAGACAAACAAACTTTTCCGTGCTCAAAGAACAGACGAAAATGACAAATAGTCAAGGGTTGCCCTGAAAGGGCTCCAGCTGCAATTTTAAAAGAAACAGAAAGTGCCATAGAAGAGTGAGACCATCTCAGTAAAGTGCCCAGGCTTCCCTTAACTCAGCTGTGGACAGTTTGAATTCAAATGGGGATGGCAATGGGATCTATATCTATATCTATATCTATATCTATATCTATATCTATATCTATATCATCTGTATATATATATATATATATATATATATATATATATATATCTTAATGAATCCTGTGATTTTGAACAAATAACACATGCTAATAATTTTTTTTCAAAATGGGCTGGGGTGTGCCTCACTTGGTAGAGTGCTTGCTTAGCATGCACACAGCAACGGATTTGATCCCTAGCATGACATAAACTAGGTGTGGTTGAGCACTAAGAAAGTGGAGACAGGAAGACCAGAAGTTCATCTACTACATATTGAGTTTGAGGCCAGTCTAGGGGTACATGAGACCGTGTCCCAAAATTTATGTTAAAGGAAATGAAGAAATTTAGGGAAGAGACCAGAAGACATCAAGTCAGACAGGGAAACAAGATGTCTTTGGGGGGTTTTACTAGGAAGACATTACCAGTGACTTTAAAAGTAGTTTCTGAGATATGACAGTGCATCAGTTGGAATCTTTAGTCAAGACACCAGCCTGGGCATTGAGAGGAGTATTTGATGATAGCTGTGGAAGATGGCAGAGAAGGCTCATGGCTTAGTCAAGATAAAGGACTCTATGAATATTTAAAAGCAGAAAGGAAGAGATGAAAGCTTTGGGGAAGGTAGAGGAGAAACCTGGCCAAGGATGCTGAGAAGGTAACGGGGAAGAGATGGGGAAAAGCAAGAATTACTAGCATTAATCTCCTGTGATTCTTGAACAATGTGTGGGATTTGAATGAAGAAATTATAGAAAACTGAGGTCTGGAATGTTTTGATCCCAGTGTAGCACTGTTTGAACCTCACCATGGTACCCACATAGAACAGAGATCATCAAATCATGGCCTGAGTCATTTTTGCTCTCTGCAGATCTCCCCTGATAAACTCCAAGCTGCAGCTCCAAGCTCTTAACGAGTGGGCCACAGTAAGTTGTATGCCCGATAAGAGCTTAACAGACACTTGCTAAATGTATGAATGAATGAGTCAGTCATCTTTTCCCCTAGGAAAGAAAACTGACTAGAACTCAGGATTTGCTTTTGTGTTCTGAAAGTAAGGCATCATAGCAAGAACATCATTTCTCCCAACACCATGTAGTCGGGGACCTTTGATTTTTCAGGAGAGTATGCCTAAGATCAAACAGACAAACAACACTGCACATCCCCCTACCCTTCTCACAGTCTGATGTAAGTCTTTAAAGCCCAGAGAAGAATGTCCCGGATATAAAATAAGAACAAATTAGAAGATAGGATAGTATTCAGAAAACTTCCTGTGCTGACAACGACAGCCTTTACTTCCTGATCTGTGGAATGGGGATAAGGGTAAAAAGTGCTATTATGCTCACAGACACAAATTGTTCACTGTGGACTCGGACATCTGCATTGCTAACTATGAACATTTTCTTCCTCCAGAAGTTTCATTTCCAAGTAGGTAAAAACAAAGTTTCACTGTACTCTAATGAGGTTATTGAGTAGCCTTATGATGTTGTGGCTTTGCCACCCAAGACCCTACTACGCCTCTGAAGCTTTTAGTGCCAGTATCTGGGTGGTCCAGGGTAGACGTGAACTCTAAAGCACTGGCTGATGGGCTGAATTAATCCTGCTTAAATTAATAATTAAGAAGCCTCGCTGCCATGGTTTCCTTTCCTCTTCATAACAGCTTTGTGAGATGGGTATTAGCACTTTCAGCAGGTGAGACACCTAAGGCCCAGGGTTCAGTCATTTATCCTTGCCTAGGAACTTCAACTCAAATCTCAGATAACCCATCCTTATCATTTTGATTATTTTCCCCGGTTCTGACTTTGCTTTCGCTGTCTCTTCCTCTCACTAGGAAAGGAGAAGAAGCCCTTGGCAGAATGGCATCTCATTGTGTTTCCAGCAACCGCCTGCTTCATCTTGTTAATTTTCTCACTCATCTGCAGAGTGTAGGTATTCCTTACATTCAGGGGCTGACTTTGCAGTCTGCTGTGCACACTGCTTATTATCAGGTGCAATTTAGAGCATACTGTTTCCAGCTAAAATAAAACATGGCATACACAGCATACAGGAGCTAGACAGGACACAGCACAGTCCTCGGTCACCACACACCCTCAAATTAGTTGATGATATTTTAATATTTATAGAGGTTTTTGCCACTGTATTCTTTTCCTTCACAGCTTTCCCTTCCATACTTGCTTGTCTTTTGACATCTCCTATAAAAAGGCAGCAAGTCCATCCCAAGTCTGAAGTCAACACACTGCCTTCACATATGGGTCTTAGTGGTCACTGGTTGACCTCTACCTGGCTTTCAGGTTACCAGTCCAGAGTGACTGTCTTTACATCAAATGCAGATTCGCAAAAGCCTGCACAGATATCCTATCCCGCCTTGCAAAAGGCTGCATTTCCCCTTTCACCCACCTCTCTTTTTCCCTCTCAATTGCTAAGGCAAAGTTCCTTTTTAGCCTAAAAATCTTAGGGAATAACTTCTGTGTTAAAGGCTATTATTCATTAACTGTTATATTTAGATGCCTGCGGGTGATGGGCAGCAGTTCAAAGGAAAGGGAAAGATGAGAAGGAACTGTGATTTTGGCATAGTTGAAGGAGGAAAGCTAGAATGAACAGTGAACAAGAAACCAAACAAAGGATGCTGCTAGCGACCCATCTTCAGAAGTCAGGCCTGGCAATAAGCCCAATGTGAAACAGTTAAGACTTCCTCTTTGCTGGAGATCTCAGAAGCCACATCCCAGCCTGGCAGCCCTTCAAGGTTTTCAATGATGAAGATGTTTAACCATCTTAACCAACATAGTTACACATGGAACTTACTCGGTTAATGTAGGAGTAGAAATTCAGGCCAGAGGACTGTTTATACTCATTCAGTTCCTCCCCCTGTTTTCAGGTGTCGCATATGGATCAAGTTATTCCCACCAGTTCCAGCCCCTAAGAGCAACATCAAAGATCTCCTTGTGGTGACTGATTCTGAGGTAATGTTTAAAGACACAAAGAGGTGCTATTCCAAGTGCTCTGGAATGAACCTCAAGCTCTCTCTGTATGTCTGTGTATACATGTACCAGGCAATACCGATATGTATATCTCTCTCCCTCTGCTCTCCTCCCGCTTTGTGTGTGTGTGTGTGTGTGTGTGTGTGTGTGTGTGTGTGTGTGTGTGTGCGCGCGCGCGTGCACATTTATAGATGTTAGTATTGTGTCTACATTTAGTGAACTTCTTAATCAATCATAAGGGCTCTTGCCAGTTAAACTTGAATTTCCATTTCATGCCCATCATCTTTTACCTGATCTCTGATAATTCCTCCAACAACAGAAATCTTAAGCTCCTTTTTTGGTACATAAGAGACATAGATTAGATCCTGACAAAACAATATCATCACAATTGCTATAGCTTTGTTATAAAAAACTTGACATGATGTAGGCTGAGGTCTCTCAGAATGATTTTCCCTCAATACACTTTAGTTAAATCTGGAATTATTACATACAGTTTAAAGCCCACCTGCCACTTCCCATAAGGGAGAAAAAGAGTGGTGGGAGGGGATGGGGGAAGATAGACAGCTGGATTTTTTTTTCCTTTTTAGACAAGTTATCACTGGGTAGCTCTGGCTTGGCTAAAACTTGCTATGTAGACCAAGCTGGCCCTAGACTCATAGATCCACTTGACTGAATTAAAGGCAGGAAGCTGGAAGTCTGTGGTAAATTTAGAGTCTGTGGTTAAGTCAGAGGAAAAACAACATCTTAATACTATTTTCAGAATCGCCACACATCAAGGTCTTCCTTAGTTTCTTTCAGCAACATTTCAAGATTTTCTGTGTATAGTTATTGCATTTGATTGTTCATATCTTTCAGTCAAGTGGCTATTGAAATCTTGGGCAGCAAACTCTTCCTATAAAGACATAATAAACATTTAAGGTAGAATTGTTTGTTATGAGGAGTGTGTCCATATAATGTGTGCTAATGAATACAAAAAGAGGTAATAAGCCAGACTGGGCTTTATTCACTGACCTCCAGTTTAGATCAATGATTTTTTTTTTTTAACAGACTTAGAAGTTTCTTCAGCAGATGTGGATGAAGCATCTCATGGCCAGTTATAGGAAAAAATGGGCTGATGAAAATTCATCAAAATGGTTAATTTCAGTAAGCCCCAAATTTTCTTTAGATTACTTTGGGATGCTTTATAGGCAATATGATTCTAAACTACGGAAGTAAAGAATTGTGGTGGGCCAGAGAGTCATGATACCCTGTATTTGTTCCTTGTATTCTTCATTGAGGGAACAGCCCACCCACGCTGGTGTATCTATAGCTCTTCAGAAAGGAGCAGGTCCTGTGTGGATCTGCTTCTGTTCTTCTGAATGTGCACTGTTCATTCCTCTTTGTTGTAGCTGAGGGATATACACTAAAGTTAAACTTGACGCTTCAGTCATTTGTCCTGTTCTCTTAATAGAACATTTGAAGGCTGGTATCTAATTTCCCTATAGAGCCTGGAAGGATTCTGTTAATATTCTGAGGTTGGTGGATGAAACTGGCTTAAGAGCTTACTTTCTGAGCTTCTGGTTTGTATTAATTAAAGTCAAGTCATGTGTGTAGAATAATGACTTGGGATAGACAGAGCTGCTTTCAGAGTATGCAAAGGATTAATGTCAGCATTGCCTGGCTTCTCAGGATAACTTACTCTGTGTCCCCATTACAGAGTTTTACATGAAAGATTGTGGGAAAGAGAGAGGAGGTGAGACAGGCACTGAGAAGTAGGGACTGAAACATGTAGTTGTGTATGGTGTTACCAGTATTCTGGCCTAAGGTTTTAACCTAAGATGGCATGTGAGCAAGTAGAGAGCTGACCACAGCTGGGCGACATGCAGCGGTGCATTCCAGCCATGCATTCTACCCACGGTGATACTGATTCAAGAAAATAAGGTCCATTAGTACTATGGGCACCATACCCCTTGGGAAGTACCTGACTAGTGGAAAATGAAGCTTTCTGCTTTGACAGCTGCTCCTTCCCTGTGAGGGTAATGTGTCAAGACCCATTGTAGATGTTGAAAGCTGTAATATTTAAGCCCTGATGCACAGTGGTACAATATTTGCTCAGACTCTACACATTCTGCACCACAGTATAAATCCTCTTAAAATCACTTCAAATCAGCACATTGCAAATGCTGTATGGGTGGCTATTACACTGCATAGTTTGAACAATAACATCATGAACACTCGTTTGAACACACAGAGGCAAAGCAATGGATCTCGGGGCTCACTGTGACTTGCACCTCCATACTTGGTAGGAATGCTCAAAGGCATTGGGGCTTGGAAGCCTGCAGTCATCCTGGGAATGTTGCTAGGCAAGTTTTTGTTTCTTCAGACTTCAGCTGAGAGATTATTTTTACAACACTCAATAGACAGTTAACATTTTGGTTTTTTGTTTAGATTTCACTCTGAGTTTTCAAACTTATTAGAGATGAGTTTCAAGTTGACTTTTTTCCAGTGGTAACCAGAGAGAATTCTTCTCTTCATTATGCCCACTGTAAACAATATAAAGTATGTCATTCAGGAAGCATGTCTGCTGTGTTTCTCAGATGACATCCAATATATATAACACCACATCTAGAGTGGATGGATGTTAAAAATATGCTGGATGAGTACATGGGGAAAAATAAGTGATATTTTTAACAGTTTCTAATTATTATTAGCTTTTTTAATGTGTTATATCCAAAATTAGATTAAAAATAAATGCTCGAATTTACTAGAATCTTTTCATTTCTCGAGATAGGGTCCCATGTAGCACAGGGTGGCCTCAAAGTGAATATGTAATTAAGTATTACCTTGAATTTCTGATCTGTCTTCACCTCCTAAGTGCTGAGATTATAGACAACAACCCCCCACACTGGCTTTATTTAGTGCTGAGAATCCAAGTCAGGGCTTTGTACATGCTAGGCAAGAACTCTACCAACTGAACTACATATTTAGCCTCAAATTTATATTATTGCAATTGGTGAGTGGAATATGATAGAAATATTAAAATGGATTACATCCAAGTGGGAGTGTATTTCCCGAGGAGAATATCAGCCTAACATGTACAAGGATTTGGGTTCAGAACAAAACCATGACCCCCAAAATACAAAATATACTTAAAATATTATATGACATTTTAAAGAAAATAATTCATACACTTATGCAATGGCTAGAGGGACATATCTCATTGGCAGAACATCAATAGTAGTAGTAGTAGTAATATGTTTTATAAAGGTGAAGCTGTGTGTCCCTGTTACTTCATCATGAATGTAAAGAACACCTTATGTGTTGAAAGGAGCTGAGGAAAAGCAGTAGGATATATTTGTAAGATAAGTCCATGGATAGTTTTTCTCATTCCCATTTAAGTTTTCTTATTTGCTAAGGATACTAGTGTTATATAAAAAGTTACTTCAAACCAATTTTTAAAAACAAACAAAAACCATCAAAGAGATGAGATGTTCTCTAAAAGACATGTAAAGGAAGATACTTTGTTTTGCAGAATGCTGCTTGGAATGAAACCAAAATTGAAGTTGTAAGTTGTGTGGAAGAAGCTGGATTTGAAGTCATGGAAAATTCCGTGTTTTGATGGCATTGCAACATTCTGAATAGAATTTATACAGGACTCCATTATAAAAGCAAGGACTGATATTTCTTGGCAAGAAAGGACTGCAAATGGATAACATTCAATTTGGTTGCGAGGCAATACATCCAAACACACGAGTCTCCAATGTCCCATCTCTTAACAGGGGACAAACCTCATCAAAGTCCCCTTGTTGACAGCAGGAAAATGGGTCCATCTGAATACAGGCCTTGTTTTCCCACCCACAGTGCACAAAGTATCACCCGGCCTGGTTATACAGGCCAGTCTTTGCAACTTGCATGACTTACCTTGAACGCTTTGCACAGGAGACAGTTTTTCAAGCTAATGTCACACATTTACTTTGGTTAGAGCTGCCTATGGTAGCACTTTGAACTACAGTGACAGAAAGAAAGAGTGGAACCCATCCAGAGTGAACATAAATTCAAGACTGTCTTTCCCACAGCAAGTGGGAGCCATAATTTCATGGTGCTCCTTCTCTTCTGAGTTCTAGAATACTTTCTTTCAAGAACTGTGCATGTGTGATGTGGTGTGGGATGATGATATGATGTTGAAGTAGAAACGAAGAATATGTTTGGTTCTATATATACCTGTCCTGGGAAGCATCTATGACAAACTACCCGAGAATGTGTACTAAGACATCATGCCTGGGGCTGAGGAGATGGTGAAGAAGCATAAGGACCTGAGACTGGTCAGCCAGCACCAAGGAAAGAGCAACAAAACAGTGCAAAGCAGCATGTGTGCATAATCCTAGTTCTGCGAAACATAGAAGCTCCATGGGAAATGCTGGCCAGTCAGTTTAGCAATTAGGTGGTTTCTACGTTCAGTGATTGATACAGTCTCAAAAATGTAAGGTAGAAAGTGACTGGGGAGTACCCCTGACACTGACCTCTGGCCTGCATACACATCTACACACATGAACACAGACACACACACACAGACACACACACACACACATGCATACACAGACATGCACACATGCTAGAAATATCACCCCCTCTTAAGAGAGAAGACAGGAAGGAACTTGTTTAAGGGTCACATTCTTTAAGGACTCCTTGGTACTATGGAAATAAACTCAGAGAGACAGTGATCATAATTCTGCTGTGGAGGTGATTGCTGGATCTAGAAAGTACTTTCTGAAGTGATGCTTGATGTAAGAGCCTTCATGGCAACTTGCTGGTCAACTAGTTCTTGCTCAACCCTATTATCTTAAGTTAGGGTTTCCTATAAGCCATATCAATACACATTACACTGCTATAGAGATGTTTGAATTCAATGTCTTCAAATAGAGGCTATATGTATAGGTCTTTGTGTTGAGCAATGGGCTGAAAGTAGAAGCAAGGACAACTATACTCTAGGAGGAGGAATAATTAGTAGTAGAAGGCAACCTAATGGTGTTGGCTTTATATATTCCTGGGACAAGGAGCTTGGAGACAATGGAAGGAGATGATGATGCTTAAAATCTACATTATGGCGCACTTTTACATACTTTATGGAGCTGATTTAGTCAATTTTAATACTCTGGGTGAGGAGTATAAAGAGTACCAAATACCTCTTATATGGCTTTTCTGATTTAGGACGTAACCATCCACCATTCTGTGCTCAGAATGGAAGGTAGAGCAGTCATGGACATCTGCCAATATTGGATCTTCTCCGAAGGTCAGAGTACTATAGTAGATTTCTTCACTGTCTCTCTGGTCTTAATTCTGCATTGTGTCACAGTCATATATATTACAGTTCCCATGTTAAAGATGCAGTACTTGGGGATGAGAGAGGTCACTAGCCAGGAAAGGGCACAATAATGCGCTGAATATCAGACTCAGCAGACATCAGTAACACAGAGGAGAGTAGCACATAAAAGCTGATGTGGGAGCTAGAGAGATGGCTTAGTGGTTAGAGCACTTGTGTGCTCTTCCAGAGGTCCCAATGTTCAATTCCCAGCAACCACATGGTGACTCACAGTTATGTGTAATCAGATCAGATTCCTTTTGTTGTGCATGAAGACAGAGCACTAACATATATAAAATGCATGAGTAAGTAAATAAATAGAAAGGAAAGCTGAAGTTTGCTTTACAGCTCAGACCAGGAGGTTGAGGCCCATGAGAGTGTTGGTATAGTGGGAAAAATGTTTATTTGATAACTAACTGACCAACAATCTATGAAAAATGGCTCTAAAGAATCTCTATAATAGGCACTGGTCTTGGGTGGACAGTCAAGAGTTTGCATGGTCAGCAATTGTCAAGAACATTTAATGCTGATGGTCTGCATACCACACTTCGATAAATTATTATGAACATCACAATTTCAAAGCTACCCAATTAAAGAATAATGGATGGAAACAACCAAGTGCAAGAATTCTCTTCCTCTCATCTTGCAAGGGCAGCCTAGAAGTACCATTTTGGAAACTTACCTCTACCTAGAAGGCTCTACCAAAGCGGGGGTGCCATCATATAAGGGCAGTTGTTCATTTTGCATGTGTAGGTCTCATTTTAGGGTGGATTCCCTCAGACCTAGCAGCTGGCAATCCTCTGGGTTTCACGGATCTTCTGCCTCCCATCCCTAGGCTGGCGCTAGCATCTAATCTTGGTTCATGTATAAGGAGCACAAAGTAGTTCATGTAGCCCTACCAGTATGGTGTAGATTTAACTCTCCTTGATGCAATCATTCTTTGGGAATCCATAGCCAACATTATCCTTTCCATGAAGGCTTCTATAACAGTTGGTAGATCATGCCTCTGGAGTCTCATTGTGAGCCTAAGGTATTGGAAGATGTACCAAACAGTTTAGCTGCCTCCTTGTTTGACCATATGCCCCAGGAGCACTAGCCTTCTGCATGCAAGATGCATCTTTTTATTTGCAGCATCTAGAACAGTACCTAACCATTAAGAATTACACATGGTCCCCCGGCTGGGGAGATGATCCAGAGGTTAAGAGCACTGGTGGCCCCTCCAGAAAATCTGGGTTTGATTTTCAGCACTCACAAGGTGGCTGGCTCACAACCATCTAAAACTTTCCCAGGGGATCTGACCTCACTTGTAGCTTCTGTGGGCACTAGCATGTAAGTGGTACACAGACACATGTTGCAAAAACACTCATGACATTAAACACACACACACACATATCTCAAGACCTACAATTCAATAAAATGAAAGACTGGTATCCAATAGGAATGCAATTGGAAGTAGCCAGGAGACACCTGTGGTTGATGGAAGCTGAGGTCACAGTACTGAATCCCACCAGCACAGGACAGGAACCCACTCCCTAGATCTTTCACATCCACCATATTGATAAACACAGGCTCTCTAAGACAGCCTTTACAACAAAGAGTTTATTCCAACCCCTCTCCTTTGTTCTTGGAATTCACAGTGAGTGATTTAAGGGGAGTTTGAGGAGACTTGGGGATGAAGCTTGTGTATGCAACAGCCAGAGCACCTGTGTCTCATTGATATGCCTCAGGCCTCAAGCCACTTATGCCTGCTGGGGAAGAAGCCACTTGGGCAAAGAACATTCTGATTAAAAATCCAACCATTTTCGAGGTGAGACTTGTATGTGTCCGGACCATCTGCTGTTGGAATTCATAAACTGTAGGTGCTAATTTGTTAAAGAAAAAACAGACTGCTGGTGAGAATGGAGAACTATAAACAACCTTTGATGGCTGGGGAAAGATGAGGAGCCTAACTGAAACAGGACATAGTGTCACCCTTAGGATCTTTGTGACAAAAGCTATGGAGCTTTCATGTCCCACACATGGAGTTCCAGAATACAAACTTTTTCAAAAACATTTTCTTTAGAATTTCAAATTGAGTGAAATGACAATTTCTTCCTTCAGCTTTATCCTGTGTTGGCGAGTAGCTATGAATGTAAATGTGGTCCAAGATGGGAAGCCTTTGATAATGACATTGATTTATTTACGTCTACAAACTCAAGAGAGGTCTATTTTTAATTCCACCTTAAATCTCCCCTCCCCCTTCTCTGTTCCCACTACCTGATTTGCAGGAGCCTCTGAACTGAATTCCTGACCGCCAGGATTTCCCTTCTCTTCAAGGCATATCTTCCTCTATCACTCTGTCCAAAAACCTAAAGGATGCCCAACTAAATCAAAGTTCATCATATCAAGAGCAGTTTCCCCGGCATCTCTGTAGTGTTCCAGTGAAATTGTGCAAAAATCTAACTCTAGTCTGGTCTGTAAGCATCAAGCTGTCTTTCGCTTCTCCTCATGCAGAGGCCTTCTGGTTCTTTTTTCCTTCTTGTCAACCCTGAATCTTCTAAGATTTAGCCCTTTGCCACATCAAAGTCTCCAATTCCTCATCTGATTGACATGGCTCTGCATGTTTGCCTTCTGTGTAATTCTTACACCATTCAACTGTTTGTTTCTTATTTGTTGTGTAAATACCCTGAGGTCAAGAGCAGTTCCTTATTTATGTTATTTACATAGGCCCTCAGTAGGAATGTAGTGGCTGCTGAGATGAGCAAAACTAAAGAGACAGAAATATTCAACAGTTACTTCGAACTCTAATTCAGACTCACATTAAAAGCTGTCTGATTACACCAGAAACAAAACAACCATCAAATAATGTAGTAAGAGTTCATAGTTGACATCACTCACTTGATCTGCAGATAGCCAGCTGCTGGCACCATTCCAAGTGTGCACTTGGGGTACCCAAGCTCCAGCATTAGAAGAAGCGAGCTCCTGTGCACTGGCGTCTTCCCCCAACTTTGCTAATCCTTTGGTAATTAGCATATGCATCAGGGACACGAAGTAGCCCAGGTGTGTTAAGCTGAAATTCTAATGTGGCTTTTATTTTTCAACTCGAACATGTGTTATTAACTTCATCTGTTTGTTTGTTTGTTTGTTTGTTTGTTTTCAAATTAAAAGCAGATGTTGGTCCCTACCAGGTGATAAAAAATGCAAGAATACGTAAATCTGGGAGGAGGGGGAGGAAGAGAGGGTGAAGAAAAACAACAAAGCCACACAGCAGTATTACAGCTCAAAGGCAGCTAACTTGGAAGCTTTCCCACTCTGAGGACCAAATGGATTGGGTTGCAGCTTCATTTCTCTGATATGACACAAGGTGTGCATGGGTAAAGCTGTGTCCTCATATCTACTTGCAGAAAATGGACCAGTGGGCTAGGTTTCATAGGTGGGCTAATATTTTACATGTACAAAGCTTAATGAACCCCAAATATGTTGCCTCAAGAGTGTGTGCGGCTCCTCTCCAGTTTGTTTGGAACACAACCAATTTGAAAAAATGTTTAGTCCAATAAAAAACTTTTTTTTTTTTTTTTTTTTTTTTAGTTCCGTTGGTGAAAAACTTGGTTGTTCCCCTGGACTTAAATGTGCTACTAATTGGTTTCACATGAGCACACAGGTGCAGGACTTCTGTCCCTATTTTTATGCCATATTTCAAATACGTGCATTTTTTGGTCTTCTGCCTTTTTATCTCCGTTTCTCGGTGCCAGCACAACTTCCAGCTCGTATCTGTTGAGTGTTCACATAAGAACAGTTGTTCTCAATAGAATCGATAGTTGTTTGTTTTCAGATAGTTTATCCTAAAGATTGATAAATCTTTATTTCCCAACTAGCTGCATGACAAACTAGCTGCATGACATATATTCTTGGCAAGAAGATCATTTATATAAGTCTTGAAATTATTCCTTGAATTTTCTCCTTTCCCTTCTTACCTCCTTGCCTTATAATTTTGCTTTGGAAAGGACCTTTGTCTTAATAGTCTTTTGGTGGCAGCTGTAAGAGGAACCTTATCCACCGGTCCTGGCTCTCCCAATGCAAAGTACTCACACATGCATGTATGCACATTCACGCATGCCTGCAAGCGTGCACTCTTGCACCATCCAAGGAAAGAGAAGAGACAGGCCAAAGAAGCAGTGCTCCAATTAGCAAGCCTCGTGCTTCCAGCACAGAGCCATCAATTTCAGACATTGCAAAGCCCCTGAAAATTTGAAATAAAAATTAGTAACTTCATAGGAGTTGTTGCATCTTCTTCCCTGCAAGTCTTAGCACATAGAGAGGAGCATCAGTCAAAATTTGTATTTCAAATAAATATTGCATGTAACATGCTTGTGCTTAAAAAGGAGGCCGTTCATTCTTTTTCTCTGAAATCCAAGTTTGACTGGACCTCTTGAATTTTACCTGGTACCCTGAACTTGCAGTACTGCTATGGTAGCTTAAGGGTGAAGGGTTAATGTTACAAGTGCAAGTGAAAAACAATTTCCAGTAGAAGAAAGCTAAGCATACCTGTTTGACCTCTTTTGAGTGAAAAAAAAAAAAAATCACCACACAAAATCCATGTGGACTCTCTCTGTAGGAATTGTGTCCTTCCATACATCCTATTGTCACAACATACTCTTACAGGTTCCTTGCCTTTCCCACCCATATTGTTCCCATGCCTACATCATCCCCTGGTACACAGAGAGTAGTTAACAGTCCTTTCCTAATTATAACCTGCCCCCTTCACAGACCTTATCCTCTCTTTCTTCTTTGAATTGCAGTACACCTTGCCCCAAGCCCTCACCTGGGATACCCTTTCCTCTCATTTCAGTATCTCCCTCTTTCTTGATTCAGTGTCCTACACTGTCCTTTGGCTGAACTTAGGGGTCTAGATTCTGCCTTAACCTGTTGTCTTTCTTAGTAAATTCCTATGTCTAGGTATATTACTTCAATATGAAGCCTTTCCCAGTTTGCCTTATGTCTTGCATGCTTGGCCTCTAACTAGTGGCACTATTTTTGGAGGTGGCAAATTTAAGAGGTTAGGCCTACCTGAAATGAGTGGGTCACTAGGGATGTGCCATTAAAGGTTCTACCTGGTACCTAATCTCTCCTCTTTGTTCCCTGGTCATATTAAGGCAGGCAGCAGATGTTTCTACCTCCATGATGAGCCAAAATAATTATTTCCTCCCTTTAATTTTTTAGAGGCATTTTAGTCATAGCTACATAAAACAAGCTCAAATCACAAGGGATTTAAATGTACTGAATCAAGAGTTCAGTTCTAGTGCTGGCTTTTTAATGGTCTGTGTCACTCTGGATTCCTGGTAATCCTATTTGCATACATTTCATTAATGAAAATGGTAGAAACTTGTACTTCTTTCTTCTTAGCATAAAGAACATTTTGAGAACCATAAACATAAGTATCATCCAGATGTGGTGGCACATGACTTTAACCCCAGCACCTGAGAGGCAGAGGGAGGTGGATATCTGTGAGTTCGAGGCCAGCCTGATCTATATAGTGGATACTGGCACAGCCAGGACTATGTAGAGAGACCTGGTCTCAAAACAACAGCAACAAAGGATTAAATATTGCACTATTTTTTCACTTAAATTAGTGAAATTAAAATTTCACTAAGGCATATTTATATTCACACATAATTGGTGTTATTCCTAACAAGTGGAAAGAATGTTTAAAGAAGGTCCAGTTGACATAGACAGGGAGTGTCATATTAAATACCTCAGCCTTATAGTTTCTAGACTTTCAGATCTATCATGTGGTTGACCTTTTTTTTTTTTTTTTTTTTTTTTTAGGCTTTTATCTGTGTGACCAGTTTTATTACAGCTCTGTTACTCTCTATCTGACCATGACTATGCAGATAAAGAACAGAGGCCAATATTGTTTGAACTGTGAACTTTGCTGAGTGCTGCACATTTACACTCGAATTGTGGAATTTGGACATTTACTCTTCATGGCCCATTTAGCACAAAGGTCAAAGGGATCTGCTCACACACCGGACAGCCTGCCTTGCACAGAGTGATCATAGTGTGACAGAGGCTTGGGAATCACAGGAAATAGCAACAGATGATGTCCCTCCATTGACAAATGATTTAAATACCAGCCACAGAGGGATGGATGTCAGAAACAGGCTCAATCATGTATGTGCCCTAGGGAAAATTGGACAGTTCAGTATAATGGCGGAAACTGAAGGTGACTTTTGTGAAAAACCAGGCATCTGAATGAGGAACCTCCTGCGTACCTTATTTTATATAAACATTGATATTGATATTTAGTGTTAATTTATATTCTATTTATTATAGTAAGATTATTAAGTGTTACATATTTTGTTATGTTCCTAGACAACTTATAAAAGTAATCATTAATGTTTGGAGAGTTGTGCACCCAGAACATCCTATAGATAATCCAAAGTAAGACACAGCATTTGTTGGAACGCACCCCAAACTGGTAGACTCCACAAACATATCATTAGCCTTTTTTTTAGGCAGCCTTTGTGAAGGCCTGGAGACTAGCATTTTGTGATGGAATAATATTTCTATGTCTCCAGTTTAACTAGAAATCCTTACTTTTAAGAGCCTGTATTTCAAGTCACTATGGTTGACCACATTCTCAGTGAGAACTGAGTAATAATTTTAAAGACAAGGACATGCACTTAAGCCTTGAATGTGAAATGGAGGAAGGAAGGATGCAATATAGTACAATTAAAAAAAAAACCTGTTAGTTGATATTACATAAACCCCATGACCCTTAGTAGTCAATTATGGACTTCTTGTAAAGGCAATGTTTCTTGAGCATATTGGTATCAAGACAGGGAAGGTAAAAGAGTTTGGGAAAAGGTAACCAAGAGTCTAATAGATGTAAAAATAGCCACAGGCATTCTGTTTCAAGATAAAAGCTCATGGCAGCTCCCATGTTATTGGTTGGCAGAATTCAGTGCTTACCTGAGAGTCAAAGTTTTAGCCTACTCTTCCAGCCACAGCAAAAGGAACTGTTTTGTATAGAAGGCTCCTTAGCTCAGTAAAAGCTAGTTACCCTGATGGGACCCATTTTTTTTTCAGTGAAATGTAGCACAAAAAGAACATGAAAGGATTAAAGAAAACAAATTTGCTTAGTGTTCCTTCCTTGGGAGTATCCCTCAAGGAGTGGCACACCCCAGCTGCTTGTAAGAGTGGGACGTAGTGCTTGGGACATTTCTTTGGTGGACTATATGTTGAAAGTCTCTTGTTTAGAGCCTCCCAACAGCTATTCTCTTGCCTTCTAGAAACATCATTAAACTCTTGGGTTAATACACTGTCCCTGTGAGTGATCATCAGTGTGAGCAGGTTGATCAGCTCGTATGAGCTTGTATGATCAGACACTTCCAGAAGAAGTGAGGAGCACACTGAGAAGAATGACATCAAACCCAGAAACGTAGTCAACGTATCCTTTAAACCACACAGCAAAAGACCTGGCAAGGTTTCTGTACTCCCGAGAGAAGCTGGGTGTGAGCACTCATCAAGGCTTGTACCTTTGCTACTTCCTGGGCATCCTGTGATGTGATGTTAATTAGTTCCTTTCTGTTTGGTCCAAGTAGGAGAGTTGTTTTTGTTGCTTTCAAACAGTGGCCCCCTACCCACAATAACCACAGAGGCCAACAAATAAGACAAGTTTTGGTGAAGGTGGTGCTTGCCAAACTCTTCAGTCCGGTTGGCCTCAGCTAACTGAGGGAATCACTATCAGATGATAAAGCTGAGAGATGAAGAAAGTTCATCAAAGCATAGCACTAGAAGCCACTGGTCCTTTCCAGAACATCACCAAAGTAGTCCTTCCTGCATGGTTTCCTATATAGCACACAGGCCGACAACTGATGCAAAATGCTACTTCAAAGACCCCTTCAATCAATTCATCAATGAGTATTTATTGCAAGGCACTGTGCTAGGCACTATGGAGAGTACATGGAAGAGAAAACCAATGTCCCTGCCCTCAAGGAGCTCACAATCTAGTTGGGAAGACAAGGCATACATATAAGAAAAAGTCAATAACAATACAGGAGTTAGGTTCAAATGCAAGATAACAGTACAAGAGATTTCCAAAAAGTCGTACCTCGTGAAATACCAAATGAAGAGAAGGGTTGCAGCAAATTCAGAGGAAGGATATCACAAGGACAGGCATGTGGAAAGATCTCACAGATGAGCTGGAGTGTAGGAGGTGCCCCAGGACAGTAGATATTTGGGTGGGAGAGAGGAGAACATTTCAAGGAGGAACAGCCATGAGACCAAAAGGCACAGAGGTGAGACCAAAAGCAAGCAGGGCTCAGTGTGGCTTGATATAGGGGTAAGGGACTTAAACTAAGAAGGGCCTTACATGCTTAGTTTTATATAGAGATTTTAAGATTGGGGTAGGGAAACAACAGATAACAGATCAAATTTTAAAAATCTTGGCTAGCCAAGAAAAAATATTTTAGTCTATTTCAAGACATTGGTTACTTGATTTTGATTCTCTTTGCTTCCAAGGGAGATTTGAAATGCTGTCTTAAGGGTTGTCGATTCCAAAGTCATCATTGGAATTGGGTCACGTAGCTTTGGGTCAGTGCTAGAGACTTTTGAGTTTCCCTATGGTCCCAGTTGTAACTAGCACAAGGGTAAGCTAACAAATTCCCTGACAGGCAGGCAGGAATAATGCTCCCAGAAGGCAGATATCTTTACAAATGACAGAATATTTATTAACAATATTTTTAAAAAAGATTACATATGCTAGATCACTGGTAGATATCATTTACACTGGGGTTGGAAACTACCTGGGGTATCAGGTTTTTTTCATTCATTTTATTATTATGTTGATTTTTTGCATATGATTTTTAAATCATATTTTAACATAGAAGTAAAGCATATCAAACTAAGAAAGGAACGCAGCTGAAATACTGACAATATTTTCCCTGTTACCATCCTAATTTTCACACAAATGTAATCCTGATTATAACATTATTGAATGAATATAATTAGAAGGTTGAAAAGCTATGTTATGTGTAAGCAAAAATGACAAGTTACAGGCAATCATGAGCTCTCCAAGAAAGAAGAAAAAGGTGACTCTGTGTTTGAATGTCAGAAGTGTTATAGAAAATCTCATTGCCTTCTCTGTTCCACTCTTGTCAGCTTACAAAACATCCCCCATCATAACAAAGAGTTCTGTTCATAAGAATGAGGTTTTATCAATATTGCCATCTTTCACTGTATGATTTTAAGATTTATGTAAAGCTTAGAAGCAACCAGACTAGCTACTGCAAAACAGGGGAGACATCAAGATACAATTCATTTGTACTATTGAAAGTTTATAGAGTCATATGTAAAATTCTTTGCAGCAGCTACTTGCTGAAATAGGAAATTTTTTCAAATTACATATGTTATTGTCATTCAAAAGAAGGACTCTATCATTACAGTTACTCATGTTATCTATAAGAAGATTTGAAATTATAAACTCATTGACAGAATTATTCATTAAAAAATTTACATTCAAAACAGATATGTCTAAAGAGTAAAATTACCTTTTATGCCATGAAAGACTTGTTTGACTATAGTAACGTTTTGTCTCTGTTACTACAGGGTATGTAACTTCAAATTCAGTGCCTAAGATAATGCTACTACAAAGATGATGCTCAAATAAAGTCTTACCACACGATGCTAAGTTCAGGGATGGGAGGATTGCACAAGGTGCCTCTTGATCTGGGAAGATTGGTTTTAGAGATTTGTAGTTCCTGAAACCATCTCAAGTTGTGTTGAACAACAAAATTCACAACAGGGTGGGAAAACATATCACATATGTCAAAGGGACTCAATTCAATGCATTAACCAGTCAAGGAGTAAGTTATGTACAGCAGCCTTTCCTTACAAACCCAGGCTCCAGCTGTTCTGTCCCTAGATCCTTGTAAAACTGTACAAGTCATTTGTGATTCATTTACTGAGATGAGTTTCAAACTCTGTCCATAAAGGAAATCGTCTCAAATCATAATTGTGTGGTTGTGTTGCCCAGAACATTTTACAGCAGAGGAAAAAAAAAACCCAATATCTACATTATATGTTAACTTTAAAAAATTCTATAAAACACTAAATATATAATAAAAAATATGCATATAAGGACATATGTAAACTGCTTTGGTAACATCATATTACAGATGTTTTCAGTGCATTGCAGAGTTTCCCAAGAAACTTCAGACAAAGCTAGATTTGCTTTGAGGAAGTATTGTATAATGCCATTCCTAACGAAGCAAAAAACATTTTTTTTCCAGTAATAAGATGTACTTGAACAACAATATTACTTAGTACTGGGTGTCTTCAAAACAACTAGCTAAATGTTGCTTATATTATAAATAGCAAGTCCTTTAAATAACTTTTGTCATAAACTAGACCTGGCTGTGAGGGAGATCATTATTGTGCTGATAGCTGACAATGTACACGCATTGGAGGTAGAAGCCCCAGATCCTCTTGCATAGGAATCTGCAAAAAGAAAGAACAAATTCATTTAAAAGAGTCTCATCCTGTACACAAAGAAAAGAGATGCTCCAGGCCTTTACCAAAACAGTATGTCTGGCTGGGTTCTACAAGAATCACACTGTCCATCATCTAGCTATTTCTTTTATTTTTATTGTGTGTGTATGTATGTGTAGAAACACTTGTTTGCACAGGTATGTGTGCATACATGTGTGCATGCATATGGAGGGACACTGTCACCTCCTTAGAAGGATGACATCCAACTTGCTTTCGAGGCCAGGTTTCTAACTGATATGGAACTCATCAAGGGATCTTCCTGCTTCTACCTCCCTAGTGCTAGGATTACAAGGGTGTGTGTGCTTTTTAAACATGGACTAGGGTTCATATTTAAGTCTTCCAGTTTGCAACGTAAGTTTTTTTTTTTTTTTTTTTTTTTTTTTCTGACAGAGCTTTCCTGCTGGCTCTGACTACATGATTCCCTGTCAATGACTCATTAACACCAGTTCCATGATGACCTATCTGTGGGGTTGGTACATGTTAGGGAATAGCCTACAGATTCTCATTAGATTTTTTTCTTTTTATAAATTGATGGTGTCCATATTCAGTGTGGTCAATATTTCAATATTACTAGCAACATGTCTGATACAGGTCAGTATGTCCATGATGTGACTGATACTCCCTTTGAAATTCGACCTCTGTGTCATGTAGACACTGTGACACTCAACTATTACATTCCCCTCTCTGGACCAGATATTGTCAGTGTTTAATTCATCAGATGAGGAGACTGGGCTCCCAAGAGATGAGGTAACTAACTTGTCTAAGATTGCTAGCTAAGTGAATGGCTGGATTGGGAATCAAAACCATGTTTGTCTAAATATATTTCTTTTGCTCAGACAAAAAATCACATTGTAGACAAACTTTTTCATATGGGTTGCACATTTTTCATAGTAAAAGCTTTCCCATGGCCAGTCTGGGTTCTTCTAAGGCAGTCTGATCTCTCCAACTGACAGGATGGAACTCCCTTTAAGGGAAGATATTCTCTGCTTGCTAGAACCCAGGCCATCACTATCCAGGCACTATTTATATTCCTGTAATGAGTAAGACCAAGAAGTATCAGTGAGGAAAAGGAAGATCTTTGCAACAGTAAGAAGTTTTTAGGAAGATTTAAGCAGAGTGAGATAAATAAATCCCAACCGTGTGTTGTTGTGCTCTGGAGATTACTTCCATAGCTGGCTTCCTTTTGGGGAAGTCAGAGCCCTTGTTTGGTGATAGCTAGTTCGTCTATATAGCTAGTTCCAGGCCAGCCAAGGCAACTACTTAGTGAGGACCCCCCCACCCCCAGCAAAGAAACAAAAACAAAAAACCTACAAAACAAACAAAAAATACAGTTCAGTGCCATTGAAGTCCACTAATCATATATATATATATATATATATATATATATATATAATATTAACCATACAATATATATTAGCTATATATATATCACTCACACACACACACACACACATACACACACACACACACACTTGTGTAAGTATGTTTCCCACTGCACCCCATACTGTTCTTGAAAAGACAAGTACCTATTGAATCCTTATTAAATGAAAGGCAAATTAGAGAGTGGGTAAAATGACCTGGGAGCTCTTTACTCTTCTGAATTAATAAATTTGGCAGAAGCCATCAAAATTGCTTCATGACTGCGTTGCTATCATTTCCTACTGTAACACAAACTAGCCTTTTCTTCCTCTAAAAAAATAAAATGATGAACATCTAACAGAGACTTAGTCTAGCACTAAAATTAGGGTCTCAATGTTATGGATGTCACCCTTGGTTTAAAATATCATCTTTCCAGTGATAGTTTGAAAGTTTAATTAGAGCCTGAATTGATCCTCTAACATCCAGACCTCAAATCCAAAAGCTCAAAAATTATGTGCCTTTATATCTAATAGCAACCTGGATGTCTATAATCTTTTCGTTACCATTATAAAATACTCCACAAACAAAAGGACCATGTAAGCTAAAGAACAAACCTCAGATAGTTTTGGTTAATATAATCCTGGCACTTAGGAAGCAGAGGCAAAGGATTCCTACAAGTTGGAAGATGGCTTCCTCTACATACCCAGTCCCAGGCCAACCAGAGCTACTTTGTAAGACCTGCCTGACAAAACAAAGACAAAAAAGTACAATCCATTGGCAGTATTTTCAGATGCTGTGTAATCAGCACTACTCTTTCTAGATGCTTTTAAAATCATGCTAAAAAATACACAAATATTCATTAAGCAGCCATCCTCCAGTCACCAGCTGCTGCCAATCATTCTGATTTTTTACTCATGAATTTTCCTCTTATTAAAATAAAAGAAACCTTACAACAAAAGTAGTATGCTGTTGATATATTCATAAACATGATACTTAAAAACAAGATAGAATGCATTTTCTCAAAAAGGTTACTTTCACATACTATTTAACAACCTTTTAAATGGAGACAATTAACTATATATAGCCATATGTGTTTTGCATGTAGATTACATATACTCAATCAAAATGTATCATGTTAATTTCTAAATGTTGCCAACTCAAAACTGAATTATACTAGTTCTCTGGGAATAAAATACTACAGCCTTATTAAGAAATTCTTGGCAGGAGATGGTGTTGTACATCTTTAATCCCTTTCATATCAGCACTGAGGAGGCAGAGGAAGGTAGATCCCAGTGAGTTCAAGGCTAGCCTGGTTTTCATAGAAAAATTACAGATCAGTCATGCTACATAGTGAGACCCTGTCTAAAAGAACAAGAAAACAATCAAACATTCTTGTCTATTCTTCATAAATGTGTTGTTCATTATCTTTGGAAGCCATAATTTGGGGACTATGTATTTGTGAACTAAATGACTTATGTGGGACAGCCTTCACATACTTTCTTGATTGGTTACTGACTAAATCCATGAAAACTAGGCAAAGGTTTCTGTTTTGTTTTGTTTTGCATGAAGTTTCTTGCACTCAGGAAACATCAGTGATGAGAGGAAGGGGCTCCTGTCATTTGTCTTAATTACAACTTTTTCTTTTCAAGCTCAATTTCTTTGAAGCCTTGGGTCATCTAAGACAGTGACACAGTAGGAAGGGGGAAAGGGCAAGAAAAGGATTCTTACTTGATATCTTTGGGATTCGGATTTGCTCGCTGCTGCTGCCATCTCCTCCATCACTGAATGGCTTGATCTCTATGATGTAATCTTCATCGAAGGGTAAAGAAAGCTCCACTGATGTTTTATTTGTTTCAATGACGGATGTGCTGCTTTGCCTGTTCCATCTGTACAAGACCTGCCCATGTGGAAAGAGCAGGTATCATTTGCTGTCCAAATGCCCAAAGATATGGTTTTATTCCTTTCTATCTAGGTACGAGCTAAATGTAAGGTGATAGAAATGCTCTGACAGCCTGCTCACGCAGAGAAGGTTATTTTATGATGAGGGTCATGTCTGCTGCTGCCATGTAATGGAGGGAAGAGTTCAAATGCTACTTCAAGTGGGAAAGAGAGCAGCATATGTGGCTACTCTTTCGGGAGGGTAAACTAACAGACATTGAAATACAGAAGTCTGAATAAGGATGCAGAGTCGGTGATACACTAGGAGTCTTGGCATCAGAATAGATCTAGTTCTGTGTGACCCTGAGTCATTTATCTCACCTCACAGAACTTCATTTCCCTCCACTGTAAAATGGGGGGCAGTAACAGCCACTTTCCAAGATTTTATAAAGATTGAATGCAATAAGAACTGGGTTCAATGGATGCATTAAACATGTTTCAGTTAGTATATAGGCAACACAAATTGGACTTGCTTTTATTTTCTTCTTTTCTGGTAAGGGAGGGAGGTTGGGGAGGAAGGGAAGGAAGGAGGGAGGGAGGGAAGACCTGGGAGGTGAGTGTTATTGGAATGCATGGCAGGAAATTTCCAAATAATCAATAAAAAATATTATTTTGGAAAGAATAAAGTATATCTATGCAGGCTTAAGTGCAACAAGATGAGCACACATAGCAGTTCCAAGCACAAGAGACACCCAGAAGGTTGTTATTATCAAGAATCTTCTTGAAAGAGGACATTTCTAAACACTAGATGGCTTCTGAATGGCAAGAGCAGTGAGCTCTCCACTTTCCCTCCCACTGGGACCCCTTTTAAAGGTCTCATAGAAGAGGCAATCAGTGACAATCTGGAAGTGTGGTGGTTCTGAACAATCCCACTCATGCACCTTTGTTTTCCTTCCTGGGCCTCTTAGATGCTGAGTTTGGACTGTAATTTATCTATTGAAGTGGCTGGCTAGTTTTACTGAAAACACACTCGCCTGGGTCTCTGATGGACCTCAACCTAGTAGGGAATAAAATATAAATGAATAAAAACATGCCCCTGCCATTGTGTGTCCTGTGACAACTATGAGAAAAACTATCTTGTAGGTTCTGGACTCTTGTAGGTAATGTCCCTGTCACCACAATCCCACAATGCAGGTATTTTTATGCCCTTTCATAGATAAGAACACTGTGGCCCAGGGTCCTCACACCATGGAGAAGTGTCAGGAAGCTGATTCCTAAGCCATAAATCAAAACGTCCTACCGTCTCCAACTTCCCACAGAGAAAAAAAAAATGGAGCTGGATGTAGTCCTCAGCCTTGGATGCTTTGGGACATGTACTGATGCTCTAAATCTGTATTTCTCATCAGAGGAGGAAGGGTAGAGCATAATTTTGCCCTGTCTCAGAATTACCAGGCAAGATACTTAAAGCATCATTTGTTCAGGGCATCCCTAGTTTTTCTGGTTGTTGGGGTCAGGGCTGAGTCCTGGACTTCTCCCTCTCTCTTCTAAAGTTCTTCACCTACACCTACACCAATGTTGCTAGACCAGGCATGCTAGTTTGAGGACCACAGGACTAGCTTGTGTATCCGTAAGACCCCTAAAAATATTGATCTACTGAGGTCAGAAACATATGGTCAGTCTTCTATTGCAAGACAGAAACAAACATGAGTGAAATTCACAAGATTTCCTTAACATAGTTAAGATCCCATTTGTTTCTTGGCATTTTATCACCTTAATGTATGGCTTTCTAACACAAGGTGGAAAACACAATTTCTTTAAGGTGAAAAGATTCACAAGGCCTCCCCTTTCCCACTTGGACACATCAGCTGTGCCAGGCTTGGTATCCCTTTGCAAATAATCAGGCACCAATAAATCCTCAGCCACCAGCTTCTCATCCCAGCCCTTCCAGGAGAATGGGCTGACTGATGGGATGCAAGGTCACATCTGGCTCAGAAGAACAAATTGCTTCTTTGATTTACTTCTGGTCCTTGCAAGAGCTCAGAGAATACAACTGGTTTCGAGTATAAATCCAAAAGAAACATTTCCTCCAAAAGCAGACTTTTTTTTTTCTTTTCTTCTTCTTTCTTTCTTTTTTTTTTTTTTTTTTAAATCAACCTTGCTTATCAGTCTTGTAATAGTTGAGAATGCAGTGGCACCTAAATAAAGGCCAGCAAAAGCTTTATTTACACCAAACACTTGGTACAGCTGTTTGACTCAAAGGCAGTTATTATATCTGATATAATGCAGGCAGGGAGAAAAAGAAGATTCCTGGGAATAATGATAACAACTGACTACTTTTGCTTCTCTGGTGTCAGAACACTTCTACTTGTAAAAGTTTACATAGATCATCTCCCCTAGCTAAGCTTATTTCCTATTCTGACCTCAGAGATGGGAACCTGAGACCTGGAGATAGTAGACAATTCCCTGTGGTCCCATAACAAGTAAGTGATTGACTCCATGTTTAATATTGAGTAGCTCAACTCCAGAGTAGTTCAATTTGGATTCCACTTGCAGGTCAAATTGCTTTCCCTTCCTTGTCTCTCTCTCATCTATTCAAAATAAGGGGATTAGACAGTGAACTAATAAAGAGGTGGGGGGGGGTAGGAGAACACATGGCTCAGCAGGTAAAGACAACTGCCACCAAGCCCGATGGCCTTGATTAGATAGATCTCCAGGATTCACATGATGGAAGGAGAGAACTAACTACTGAAAGTTGTCCCTCAGGCATGCTATATACATGTGGGTATACAGATGCATATGTGTGTGTGAACATAGACACACACACACACACACACACACACAAATAAAATGTAAAAACTAAAGTCAGAGAAGATGTAGCCTGAGGATCATATGCTGCTGGCATGTATTATTTGTGTAGGGCACATGAGCCAGTCAAAGATGGTACTGAGAGGAAGTCAAGAGGGCAAGACCTAAGTTGTTTACAAAATGTGCTAATTGGTTGCCTAGATCGAACTAGATGAGGTTACTGCATGAACAGCTCCTGTTCACTAGGTAAAGCATAAGAGCACTGACTTTTAAAAATCATTGGCTGGCTCTTTTCCTGCTCTGTGTTTTTTTCCTTTAAAAGATACCTGCAATGGGACAATAAAACTAGTTCCAGCTTGACTAGACTCCTTGCTGTGTCTGATTGACTCTGGGAATATTGGAGGCTGGGGAATGGGTGGGCAGTGCACTTACCTTTCTTTGGACCCAGCTCAGCTTTCCATGGCTAGGCTAAGAACCTCTGAAATTTATTTGGCCAAGTTAGTGTCTGATTTTTTTAAATGCCAACTTTTATGAACTAAGAAATTATGCATGAAGGTTTATCCTTATTGTTCAAAGATATGGCCATTGTGGTTACTATGTTTTGGATGTTTATGTCCTCTAAAATTTATTCTAAAAATTAATTGCTACTGTAACAATTTAAGAAGGTGGAACATGGTGGCTTAAGCTTACAGTCCTATTATTTAGGATGCTGAGGCAGAAGGATTATTGTGAGTTTAGGCCAGCTTAGCTACATAGTGAGCTGAGCTCCCAGGGCAGCTTTGGCTACAGAGTTAGACCCTGTCTCAAACAAGAAAAGTGGAACTTTTAAGAGATGATTACTCAGTTATAATGTTCCTGGACTGTGAGAGCTCAAGTTTCATGGTGGGACTGGTTCTATTGTAGGAATCCTGTCCCCCTTGAGTGTGTATTTTTCCTTTTGTTTTATAAGGATGGAGAAAGAAGACTGTCCTTGTAAGTCAACACTTTCATGTTGAAATTCCCAGCTTAAGAAATATGTTTGTTGGCAGCCCACAGACTGGGAAAAGATTTTCACCAACCCTATATCCGACAAAGGGCTGATCTCCAAAATATACAAAGAACTCAAGAAACTAGTCAACACAACTCCAAATAACCCTATTAAAAAATGGGGTACAAAACTAAAGAAAGAAATCTCAATAGAGAATCAAAAGGCTAGAAAGACACTTAAGAAAATGCTCCACATCCAAGCTATCAGGGAAATAAATGCAAATCAAAACAACTTTGAGATACCATCTTACTCCTGCCAAAATGGCTAAAATTAGAAACCAGTGATGACTTATGTTGGAGGGATGTGGAGAAAGGGGAATACTCCTCCACTGCTGGTGGGAGTGCAAACTCATACAGCCATTTTGGAGATCATTATGGCGGTTCCTCACGAAAACTGGAATTAGTTTACCACAGGACCGGCAATCCCCCTCTTAGGCATATACCAAAGGATTCACATCCATGCAACAAAGATATCTGTTCAACTATGTTCATAGCAGCACTATTTGTAATAGCAAGAACCTGGAAGCAACCTAGATGCCCCTCAATTGAAGAATGGTTAATGAAGATGTGGCACATCTACACAATGGAATACTACTCTGCAGAAAAAAATAATGGTATCTTGAAATTTGCAGGCAAGTGGATGGCACTTGAAGAAACCATCCTGAATGAGGTAACCCAGTCACAAAAATAGGAACACAGTATGTACTCATTCATATATGGATTTTAGACCTAGATCAAAGGATCACCAGCCTATAATTCACACCACCAGAGGAACTAGGATACAAGGTGTATTCTAAGAGATTCATATAAAGTCCTTCACAGAACTGGTAATGGACAAGTCCCCCAGAGCTCAGGGGAAGTGGGGGGGGGCAGCGAATGGAGAGAGAAGTAGGAAGAAACGAGGGGGAGGAAAGGAAAACATGTGCGACCAGGAAGATTTAGCCTGGTTAGGAATAGAAGACAGGAGAGAGAGAGAGAGAAAGAGAGAGAGAGAGAGAGAGAGAGAGAGAGAGAGAGAGAGAGAGAGAGAGAGAGAGAATAAAAGAGGGAACCAATATTGGTTTGAAGATAAAATTGAACACAAAGAAAGGTCTAGAGAACTACAAGACTGCTGCCAACTAACAATTTGAGCTTCAGTGGAAAGGCTATCATAAATGCCCTTCCCGGATAGTGAGATCAACAACTAACTTCTCCATGGAGCCCTCAACTAA